TGCCATACATTAAAAAATGAGCTGTGATCCTTAATTTTGTATATGCCAAAAAATTAAAAATTTGCACCCTAAAAAATGGCGTAGCCCTTACTGTTCATTATGACATTAATGCAATCTATATTCCCGGGAAAATATCTTCTGTCTTACTGAAATGAATCTTTGGACGCTTAAAACGAAATATCCTACTAATCCTTAATCGTCTAATCCTGACGTCAAATTCAAGATCAAAAAAGTTACAAAGGTAAAATAGTAGCCCTTGTAAAAATGACAGTTTTCATATTATTACCTTTTTAATCGATCTGTGAGGCTTGTCTTTATTGTTAAAAATTAATTTTTCTGTACAAGAGTTAATAGATATGATCTGGGTATTATTAGAAAGTTCAAAAAATTGCTTACTTGCATCCAGACTATATCACGAGCGTTATCCTAAACGGAGGAAGCCAAACGCAAGAGGTTTTAATAAATTAATGGATCGTTTTGTTCGCACTTGGTCAGTTGTATATGAAAAAATAAGAGAACCAAAACTATTCTAAGTGAAGAGAAGGACTATGATGTACTAGCTTCTACTGAAGATCCCCACATCAGCACTTTGCTGAAATTTCAAGTCTACATGTCAACATGACCTATTAGTCAAACTTCGGCGGCAAAAATCCTTCGCAAACATAAACTGCATCCTTACCGCATTCAGTTACATCCAGAATTGACCGTCGATGGGTATCAACTCAGATTAGCTTTTTGTCAATGGTCTCAACAGCAAGTGCAAACATACCGATTTGTTTTCGATTATGAGCTTTTTGAAGAAGAGGCTACATTTCACAAAAATTTAACGGTGACTCGGCATAATTTTCATTATTATATAAAGCAATTCCCATTTTGGTAACACCTATAGTCAAACTAGGTGGTCTATAAATGTTTGGAGTGGTATTGTTGGCGATTATGTGATTGGCCCACATTTTTTTGTCGGTCGTGTGAATGGTGCCATATACCTGGATTTTCTAAATAATCATTTGCCAATACCTTTGCCAAAATGTACCGTTTAATATTGGACAACAAGTGTGGTTTTTACACGATGGTGTTTCAGTTCATCACCCTGCTTATTCACAATCATCTAAATAATAACTTGCCTGGATAGACAGAAGGGGCCAACTGATCACCGGAATTCTCCAAAATTGTACGAACCATCTCCAAATAGAAATAATGTGTCTACCACAATTAAACAAAAAATTTCTGAAAACCGACAATTACATAAAAATTGGCAACAGTCAAGAACGGCAGAAAATAAGAAATAACTTAACAACGCAACAAAGGAATTAAAGGAATTAATCCATGAAGAAGAAAACCATGGAAATCAAAAATATTTAAAAAATGTAACACCGACTGAAGCTATAAATTACTCACTCTGGAAAGCCACGAAAAAACTCTAACGGCCACAACAGTATAACCCACCAATCAAAGATGAGGCAAATCCAGGGCTAGGAACGACAACAAAAAAGCTGATCTTTTTAGTAAGCACCTTCAAAAAGTATTCACGCCATACCCTTCTACAGTATCTACAGATGAATAAACAGAACTAACCAGATTGCTATCAGCACAATTTCAAATGGATCTGCCCACACGAAATTTACAGTCAACCAAGTAAAACAAACAATAAATGAAGTCAACATCAAAAACGCCTTTGGATTTGAACTTATCTCTAGAAAGATTCTAAAAGAAATCTAGGATAAGTACATAAAACTAATATCCTTTATATGTTATGCAATCCTGCGCCTCAACTACTTCCCAAGTTTATGGAACGTGACACAAATCATAATGATCCTTAAACCCGGAATCAGACCAGAAAACGCCTTTTCATACCGGCCTATGAGCCTTTTGGATATGATTAGCAAAGTCTTTGAAAAATGTACGTAAAAAAAGTTAAAAACAATAATAGACGAACATAAAATAATTCGAGAACATCAATTAGGTTTCCAAGACAAACACGGAACCATAGAACAAGTGCATAGTTTAGTTAACCAAATAACCATTTTAACGCCAAAAGATACTGTTCTGCTGCTTTTCTTGACATATCTCAGGCTTTTGCACGGTATGGCACATAAGACTACAAATGAAATTAAAGAAGCCCCTACTCTATCCTCACTTCCAGCTCTTAAAATCCTACATAGAAAATAGACACTTCCTGGTGAAGCACAGTATCGAGCACACTAAGATATATCCTGTTCACTCAGGCATCCCACAAGGCAGAGTTTTCAGCCCAATTCTATATTGTTTATACACAGCGGACATTCCAACATCTAGTACAACTACTGTTGCAACGTATGCAGATGATACTGCTATCCTGGCATTCCACACAGATACATCAACAGCATCAAGAAATCTTCAATCAAACCTAAATAAAAATCAGCAATGGATGAAAGTATAGCGCATCAAATCTAATGGAACTAAGACAATACATGTTACAGTTACGCTATGTAGAGAAACATGTCCCCTGTATATATTGATAATTGTCTAATTCCTCAATCCGAGGCCGCTAAATATCTTGGCATGCACTTGGATCGCCGTCTAACTTGGAAAAAAACATATTTTTAACAAACGAAAACTGCTTGGACTTAAATTGAGACATATGTATTGGGTCATTGGACCCAATTCAAAACTATCTTTGGATAACAAAATTCTACTCTACAAGTCTATCCTCAAGCCCATGTGACCTTATAGGATTCAGCTATGGGGCATTGCTAGCGTCTCGAATACAAACATCTTACAGAGATTCCAAAACAAGGTGCTACGTGCCATAGTCAATGCGCCATACTATGTATCCAACTAGGTGATTCAACACGACATCCCCTAGAATCCGTGAAAGAAGCCATACAACGTTTTAGTGCTAAATACTGTGAACGGGAACTAGTGCATCCTAATGCGTTTGCTTGACAACTAAATGTGCGGAAAGTCTTTGAAGTGCGTAGACTAAAACGGCAATTACCGTCCGACTTGTCCAACTGAACATAATTAGTTTACTCTAAGTAATAAAATTTTAATTTTAGAATTGTAAAGAGGTTACTCACTTGAGTAACTCTCTACATGTCTGCATTTTATACCATACCAAATGCTTAATGGCCAATAGGCAGATTGTTGTAATTAATGGAGTTAATAAAAAAATATATATTATCACTCAATACTCAATACTTATTTTTACTTACAAAAATTGTAAAACTAAAACTATGTGGGAAAATAATGGGTTTAGGTATAGGGACGATTAATCACAAACACAGGGTCATTACAAGAAGAGATTAAGCGTAGATGTGATCTAGCAAAAGTTGCCACAGCAAAAATGACCAAAATATGGAAGGACTGTCAAATTTCAAGAGCGATAAAGATGAGGTTGATCAACTGCTTAATATTCCCAATACTGACCTACGGATGTGAATCTTGGACTCTGAGACAATCGGAGAGAAGAAAGATAGACGCCACTGAAATGTTCTGTTGGAGACGAATGTTACGATTTCCTTGGACCGACCGTAGAACAAATAATTCAATTTTAAGAGAGCTCAAAGTTAGCCAACGACTCTCTAGTAAAGTCCATCTCCAACAATTAAAATATTTTGGGCATGTTATGAGAGCAAACACAGAAAACATGGAAAGACTCATAATACAAGGAAAGGTAGAAGGCAGAAGATCACGAGGAAGATCCCCAACAAGATGGATAGATCAAATTACAGGAATATGCCAAAGACCTATGCATGAATTAAAAGAAATGACCAGAGACAGAGATCTCTGAAGACGGACAACACACGACATCACGTCGACCACTACACTCCTCCTGGTGGGTCAGGATTGAAGAGAGAAAGGTATAGGGAATCATCATAAAAATAAAAGAGTATCACAAATATAATAATTCGAAAAAATAAATTACAGGGTGATATATTTAAAAACATTGAAAAAATCGTAATTTTAGTTTGTAGTTTACCCTGTATACAAATTTTAGTCAATAATTTTAATTAATATTAATTTAAAAACTACAATATATCGTTTACTTTATTATATAAAATAAATAATTGTTTATGCATTATTTCTTTATACACATGGGGTTGATTTCATAGGGATTTCGAAATAAAAATGGTCATAACTTGTTAAATACTTTGTGTAGTAATGCAAAGCAAATACTATAAGACTAAGAATTATGGGAAGAACACAAATTTAAAAAAATATATAGGGTGTCTTATTTAAAAAAATTGTATCTTTGCTATACTACGTAGTTATTAATTACTCTGTAGAATACAATGAAATTACCGACTGACGTGGCATTAAAAACTCACCCTGTATACGTCAGAAATTTAATAAACAAAAAAAGTAAGGCGGAAGTGAAAGTAAGCCAGATACCTACTACCACAAACTAAAACTACTTTGAATATGGTACTAGCCTGGCAGAAGTACAAAATTGAGATACAGAAAATCAATAATTAATAGAAGGGTTAAGAAAAGCAAGAAAAAGTTATATCAAAAAATTAAAAGGCGGGAAATGTTTTATCCTATCATTAACATGTATTAATCAAACTTTAATCCTGTAGGTAAATCTATTTGACTTTTGCCTTTTGTAGCAAGATGCCTTAGGAATAATTAGTGTTAAAATAAAATAGTTGTGGACCTATCTAAAGAATAATAGCAAAAATTGTCGATTAAGTAAATCAATACGAACATGAGAAGGACCGAAATTGTGCATCCATTAAAAGTTGTGATCTGTATGATCTTTGACGTATTATGTGAGGAACTCATAGTTCTTAATTATAATTTAATAACTTCTTTAAAATATAGACTACAAATAAACTACCGTGAAAAACTTTACAAAATGTCAAGTAAACTTTAGAGTACACAAAGATGTGTTCTCTGCAAATATACGAAGAATAGTCCACCTTAAAAGTCGTTATATTATATAATATACTAATCTGAATAGTGACCCATTTATTACATAATATCTTGTGTCGAATTTTTCGATTAAAGTGACTTACCATTACTATTATTTGGACATTCTTTCACAGCCGTAGCCGCAACGTATGCAACACTAACCGTGCATAAAACAACAATCAAAACGTATTTCATTTTGCACGTTATCACTTAGTCAGGCAATAAACTACCGAATACTACCTAGACCACTGAGTTGCTGTTGGTACTGTAGCTACACTCTCACTTCAAGAATGTTTTAAATAAGAAGATTCGTCCTTGACCCCTTCTATACCTGACACTTCCCCAGGTATGAAGCTTTTAGCGGGAATATTTTGTGCCAAACGATATTTCCTTGTAAATGGATATTAGTATGAGACAAGAGTGTAACAAGAGTTATAATAATTATTGCAAACGTGAATTGAATTCGCAAATGTGTTTGTTGATGTCTATTAGTCATGACCTTTAAGTAAATCTGGTAGAACAATCAAGGAGGAAGAGTCTCCGCATGTAAAATAGATTATTCGTTTTATTTCCTGAATGCAATTTGTTAGTTTATATAAATAAATTTAGATGAAAGATTTATGTTTATGATAAAATGCATTAAAAAGGGATTTTTAGAAAAGCGTATAATAGAAAATGTTGTGATACGTATTATTATGTAGAATGTTCTTGTTATTCATCATAATCATCAACTAACCTCTAACGTCCAATGCTAAACATGGGCCTCTCGCATGCTTTTCCACTTAGTCCGATTTTGCGCCATCTGAATCTCGTTGGGGGTCGACCTCTATTTCTGTTAGCTTGTATTCGGGGTCTCCATTCCAAAATTCTTTTTGTCCACAGGTCATCAACTGATCTTGCTACATGACCTGCCTAGTTCCACTTTAGTGTTGTTGTCCTGTCAATAACGTCTGCTACTCCTGATCTTTTGCATTTAGTAGCATTGGGTATTCTATCACGTACGTCTTCTTCATGTGTCTTTTCCGTTCCGAACGTTGGCAATCAACATGGCTATTCTGACTTTGTTTACGGCAGATCTGAATAGTTCAGCAGATGACAATCCGAACCATTGCCGCAAGTTTTGGAGCCACGAGTGTCTTCTCCTCCCTGGACCCCTTCTGCTGTCTATTTTCCCTTGAACGATCAGCTGTAGTACTCTATATTTATTTTGTCTCATAACGTGACCCAGGTATTCCAACTTTTTTTTCTACCTTCTATCTTTTTCTACCTTTATACTTATTTCTACCTCTCTCTCTTTACCTATCCGGCGTAGTACCTCTTCGTTGGTCACGTGCTCAGTCCAGGATATACGTAATATATGTCGGTAAGACCACATTTCGAAGGCCTCTACTTTTTTCGTCAATGTTACGGTCATTGTCCACGCCTCCATTCCATATAACAAAACCGGGAATACATAACACTTCAGAACTCGAATTTTTAGAGGTAGGGTAAGGTTGTTAGAGGTGAAAATTTGCTTCATGCTAGTAAACGATGCTCTTGCCTTTTCTACTCTTATACGTATTTCCTTTGCTTGATCCCAATTTGAGTTAACTGTTGTTCCCAAGTAGATGTACGAATCCACGTGTTTAATTCTTTCATTGTCTAATATCAGTTGCTGTGGTGGTTGTTGGGTTTTGCTTACTAACATCCATTTGGTTTTTGTGATATTTAGTCTGAGTCCGTATTGTGCACTTGTTTTTTGTATCTTACTCATTAGGCAACTCAGTTCCTCCATGCTACTTGCTAGAATCACAGTGTCATGAGCATATTTTATGATATTAATTATTTCTCCATTTATCTTTATGCCTTCTGTGCTTTTCTCCAGCGCTGTCTTAAATACTTCTTCTGAGTATATATTAAAGAGAATTGGAGACAAGATCACGTACAGAAATCCCTAACATTATTCTCTCCATTGCCCCTTCCGCAACTTGTAGTTTACTCGCTGTTGTTCTTGTGATTGTTAGGGTTTCTGCGCCGTAGGTCACCACTGGCAAAATACACTGATTAAATACTTTTCTTTCCAGACACATTGGAATATTAGACCTAAAACTATCCTTCACCTTTCCAAATGCAGCCCAAACGAGGTTTATTCTTGTTTTCAGCTCGATTGTTTGATTGTCTTGACTTATTCTGATCTCATGGCCCAAGTATTTATGGGAGTCAACTGGCTCAATATCTTTGTCTTCACTGAGATCTTTTTGTTGTGGACTAAATTTGTCATAAATTGTGTTTTTGAAAAATTTATTTTAAGACCAATTCTTTTCGTCGCAGTATGGAGTTCTTGGAGCATTATCTGTACCTGATCAAAGCTGTCTGGAATAAGAACGATATCATCTGCAAATTTAAGGTGATTTAAGTTTCCATCTACATTGATGCCCTTTTCGTTCCAATATATTGTTTTATAAGCGTATTCTAGCAAGGATAAAAATAATTTAGAAGACATGTTGTCTCCTTGCCGAACGCCTCTTTAAATACGAAAGGTCCCAGTATCTTCATTAAGTCTTACACAAGCTGTAGCATGCTGGTAGATGTATCTGATGAGGGATATGTATCAGTGATCTATTCTACATTGTGTTGGAGCTTGGAGCATTTCATTTTGATTGACCGTATCAAATGCTTTTTCAAAGTCGGCAAAGACAAGTATCAGGGGTCTATCATATTCAATAGTTTTTTCAATCAACGACTTAATGATTGGAAAAGGATCATTTGTTCCAGCCCTAAATCCTGCTTGCTTGCAAGGGTGGTAGAGATCTAGTTTTAATGTCAACCTATTAGTTATTACCTTCATAAACAACTTATAAACGTAAGATATCAAGCTAATAGGTCTATAGTTCTTTAGCTTTGTTATATCTCCCTTTTTGTTCATGACTACTATAACAGCTTTATTCCACTGAGATGGTATAACCTCTTTTGAAAGGCATAAGTTATATAATTGTGTCAATGCTTTCAATACTGTCTTTCCTCCTGCTTTAACTCCCCCAATAAAGATTTGGTCATCACCAGCTGCTTTATTGTTTTTCATTCGATTTAATGACTTTCATACTTCTTCGATTATTATTTCTGGGATATCCTCTGAACCCACACTCTGGACTTTTCTCAACTGAGTGCCGTCTTTCTTAACCCTTTCTCTATATAATTCTGTCTAAAATTCTTCAACTACCTTAATAATCTTATCTTTATCTGTTACTTCTTTTCCATTTCGATCTGCGAGCTTAACAATATTTTTCTTACCTAGAGCTTGACATCTCTTCAGCATCTTTATACTTTTATTTTCCTCGACAACCGTTGTAATCTTTTTTGTGTTATATTGTCGTATGTCCTTTCTCACTGCTTCATTAATATATTTATTAAGTTGTAATACGCGTGCATTCGTATCGTTTTTGTTCTTAACTTTTCTTCGTGTCTCCATAAGTCTTTTTGTCTCTTGATTGATTTTTTCCTCCATATCTCTCCTAGAAAGTGTATTGTACTTTTCCTCTGCGTTTTTAATAGCTTTTATTAAGTTATCATTTAAGGTTTCGACATCCATAACGTCTATATTTGTTGTCTCTAGACTTCTCAGAATTTCCTCTTGATATGGTATTTTTCCTCTTTCCGAATGATATGGTGTTTTCGATTGGATTCCATCCTATTGGGTGTGTTTTTGTTATCATTTTGTATCTTTGTTTTTGGAGATTTAGCACGATCTTTGCACTTACCATTTTATGATCACTTCCCACTGAACAACAATTAAGAATTGTTACATCATCGACCATGTCTTTGTTGTTGGTCAAGACAAAATCAATTTCCTTTTTGGTGACTCCATCTGAACTTGTCCAAATCCATTTTCTGTGGGGACTTTTTTTGAAAAAGCTATTCATTGCAAAGAGGCCATTTCGTACCAAGAAACCCAAAAACATTACGCCTCTTTAATTAAATCTTTCGACTATTTAATAAAATCTGTTCTTTTTAGAACGAAATTGGTGTGTTTTATTTGAAAAATGTCACGTCAGAATTTAAATAGTCGTTGTAAAGAGATGGTAATACTTTTGCAATCATTATGTGACCTATTTGATTTAAAATGGAGTCAGGATTTTTTTATACTTTGACAAATGTCAACCTCGATCTCTGTCAATGATAATGACGTGCAATAGTAAGTAAATTAGATAAAGTATATGCCGATGACACAGCGATAGCGGCCGAACATAAAAACATTGACATTTTGGTAAATAACCTGCAAACAGAACTAGACGATATCGAAGAGTGAATTGCAATAAACTCCAAAAAAACGTAGGCAGTACTCTTCAAAAAGAAGCACCAACAACCAGAGGTACACGTGACAGTGTAAAACAACTCCAACGAGTAGAAAAACGAAGCAAAATATCTAGGAAAAAATGAACACAACCGCGGATTTGGTCAACATTGTAAATAGCTGCAGTACTTGGGACGTTAATGAGAAATTAAGGCAGACATGAGCTACTCCAATGCATTTTGCAAGGTAAAATTGAAGTAAAAAGGGCCCCAGGAGGAAGAAGAATATCTTGGCTTGCTAACCTGAGAGCATGGTATAGAAAGACCGTTGACAGCAATTCCGTATAGCAACTAACAATGTGATCATAGGCAGAATGATCGCCAATCTTCGAAACGGATAGGCACTCTAAGAAGAAGAAGAATTCATAATGACGCAAGTTATTAAAATATTACAATCTTATCCATTTAATGTTTAGGACAGTATACACTATCATTTTTAAATTTTCGTGGCATCTATCATTCCTCCCCACGTGTTGAGTTTGTTGATTTCCCTTCTTTGAAATGCCATAATGGCGACTGGCAATTAATATCGAAGACATGCGGTAAATCATAAGTTTTGCCTGTATGTACTTTTAAGTGATTTTTAACAAGTAATTCTTAATAATCATTTAATAATTTTTATATGAAATTTTTTGTGTTTTTAACATTGGTACATTGGTTTTCATTTTAACTTTAAAATAGACACGTACTTGGTGAGTCGGTGTCATTATTGTGTTTTAAATCTTCAAATAATTACCAGGAGTTTTAGTTCCAAATATCATTTAGCATTTAAGGCTCTTTTTATACTTCAACTACACTTGTCTAAATCTGAATATATATCTTATTGAATATATATATATATATATATATATATATATATATATATATATATATATATATATATATATATATATATATATATATATATGGTTTTTACCAACATTCGAAAATTATATCGACTACAATATTAGATCCGTACCTGCCTGTTAACATTTAATAATCCACCACAGAAAGAATTACTTACGGATTATCAATGCGAATAATAATTGTATTCTAATTCATTCTTTTTTAAAATACATACAGCGTTGGGTCAAAAGTTCAAACGTTTTCATTCATAGGTGGATAAGCAACAAAGTAAAGTTGAATTCAAACTTTTATTTTGCCTAAAAAAATAAAAACAACACGATCAGGTTAACAAGATTGGTTATGACAATTCATTTATTTTAGGGCATGTAGGCAGAAAATATTTCCCCAACGTTACATAGAATGAAGAATCATCCCAAATTTTGGCATATGCAGATGATGTGGACCTAGTTGCCCGCACAACACGCAAGCTAGAAGAAATGTATACCACCTACTCAAATGCCTCAAAATCTATTGGCCTGCAAGTAAATGAGGAGAAAACTAAGATGATGGCATCAACATCCAACAATAGAGCCAGGAACATCGGTCCCCAATTCACGGTTGATAACTCTACCTTTGAAGTGGTTGACAAATTCACATACTTAGGCTCCCTGATCACCAAAGAGAACGCCATAACGGAAGAAATCAAGCGAAGGATAGTAATGGCAAACAGATGCTATTTTGGACTGAGTAGACATATGAGAAGTAGAAACTTAAGCCAAAAAACAAAAATAACTATATACAAAACCCTTATACAACCAGTGTTGACATATGGATCGGAGACATGGACCATCTCCAAGGCAGACGAAGACCTTTTGCTTATATTTGAACGAAGAATCCTGAGAGGAATATTTGGTGGCATCTGTGAAAATGGTGTTTGGAGGAGGAGATACAACTACGAGGTATACCACAGATATAAACAAATATTTGGTGACCTCCTAGAAGAATCCTTATGTCACAACCCGTGGGAAGCAGAAAAAGGGGTAGGCCAAAACTCAGATGGAAGGATGTTGTAGATGAGGATGGTAGAAAGATAGGCGCAGCAAACTGGCAACGGTTGGCAATGGATAGGACTGCCTGGCGAAATAGACTTGGGAAGGTCGAGGCTCTTTCATAGGGCTGTAGCACCATTGATGCTGATGATGACATAGAATGAAGAATTAAGTTTTCTGGAAGACCTTTAATGTTTAATCTTTTTCTAAAGTATGTAGAATACACTTAGAAAGACTTTTTCGAGTACTGAAGATGTTTTTGTATACAAAGATACAAAAAAATAAATTAATTGCGGTAATAAGCAATATATCCATTAGATACAGCAAGACGTTTTGAGAATTCAAGAGTATTTGTGTATTACCAGCTGTGTAACTGGTTATATTTTTTTGTGTCACTTGAACAACCGGCATCTAAAGCTACATCAACGCATGTTCCTAAAAACAGTTATTAAAATTACCTTAAGTTGGCAACAAAAGAAATGGCAACAGCGTTTCCCTTTCAGTAGGTAAACATCAAACGAAAATCCCGTGTTGAAAATATTATTGTTATCCACGTGTGTTGGAAATAAATACACTCGATGTATACGCTTAGCAAAAATTTTCTAATGAGAGGAAAATATCGACACTTTAGAGATAAAACTCACTAAGTGACATATTGGACAAAAATGAGTTTTTTTAGTAGTACACATAATTTTTGATGTTCTACAAGGTAAACAATTCACTAAGTTTATATGCTATCATAGTTACTATTTAGTTTATTATCAGTAATCATTATGTACCGTTTTACAAAAAC